AAAGAGGTTTAAAGACTGTCTCAAGGCAAATCTAAAAAAAATGTAGTATAAACACAGAGAACTGGGAAACACTGGCCTGCGAGAGCTCTAGTTGGAGAACAGCCTTTACCAAAGGTGTCATGGGCTTTGAAGACGCTCAAACTCAGGACACAAGGGAGAAACGTGCTAAGAGGGAGGCACACTTGGCAAATCCACACTTTGATCCACTCCTGCCTGGAAACCAATGTCCCCACTGTGGAACGACATGTTGGTCCAGAATTGGACTCCACAGTCACTTATGGACTTACTATTAAAACCGTGTTTATGGAAGACAATCTTACTCAGCTATGAGTGATCGCCAAAGAAAATGATTCTCTTAACAAGTCATCTCCCCCCCCCCCCAATCTCAAAATAGACCTTAAAAGAGTACATACATACGAAATCTGTAATTGCACATTTTTACAGTTTTTATGCTACCATGTGTGACTGTCTAATAATCAACTTTTTATTGGTTCACAAAGCCTGAAAAAGACATATCACAGCCAAAGGGTTTTGTGAATGTTCAGCTGTATGACCATTCCAGAGTAATTCGTTATGCCCATTTGGTAGAGTGGATAACCTCAAATGACAGATCTGATTTAGCGTGTCTTAACAGTTTGTGGTTATGTAACACTGCAGTAGACTACCAGAGATTCCCATACTAGAGTAAGCATCTCAACTGACCCATAACCCTTTTCAGTATGACAATAACCATACGGTAGAAACAGAATATAATTCAGGTTATATAATTATCTCATATGGCAGTTACTGAGCCAAAATAGTACTGCTGGCTTGCTGCAGTAACAATTGGAATTTAATATATATTGAAATGCAATATATTTTGAAGAGAATAATAGGTCTGAATTTTTAGGCTATGTTTTATTATGCTTCACTGTGGTTCTCTGCATTTATTGTATTTATCTAATTTTACATTCCAGTCCTAAGCACACTTAATTGGAGGTCAGGCTTATTGATGTCAGTGGAACAGTTTTAAGAAAATGTGCTTATGTTTGCAGTAAAGGGGCATACCCACACAAACAAAAATCAGTGTTTCCATGGAACTCGTCAAGTGGAATGCCAGATCTCAGGGCATTTCACTTCTTCAAGGCTTGGTTAGGTATCTGATCTCTGCTTTGATATACACTATTCACATGTGTAATAAAGGCAACATGTCTTAATCAGGTTCAAGATAGTGAAGTGAAAATTAATTTGCTTCATAGTTTGTTCCCAGGTGGGAAAGTTTTATCTGAAATAAAGAGGCAAATGCTGGAAATTAAACCAAAGGCCCGATAAAAATGGAGATCCTTAATACTACTGCAGTAGAACCAATTATTAACAGGCAAAGAACAGTGGCTTCACGGTACAAAGGTACAGGTTTTTCTGCTACCAGGGAGGTTCCTTAACTTTAATTTCATGTTAATATCTAAAACAATCAGCTACTGCTACTTTACAAAAAGACACACCAAAGAACATTTCTTGGATTAATTCAAAAACATCTGATAATCTAGTTCAGAAAATAGAGTATTTAAAACAATTTTATTTACAAAAGATATGTCTGTCTAGCATTTGAATTTCCTGATATTTCTCAAGGTAAAGAAATAACCAGTGGCTTCCCCATTGATTGATTCTTTTTTTAAATATATATATATATTTATTATTATTAATGCACAATGAAAAAAGCCATACATCAAAACTGAACAAAAAACAAGTACAAATAATAATAAGTAAAAAAACCCAAAAAACACAGCATTATGACCAAAAGAAAAAAGGTCTTTTGACTACAGACCTGACCTCTCTTCTACTCCTTCATTCAATTACATATAACTTATTGCTGGTAAAAACTATTATCATGGTTTAACTGATTCTTGGTTTTTCTTTTATCTAACTTCATTCTTGATACTACTACTGAAATTAGTCAAATGCTGCAACAGACTTTAAACTTCTGTAATTATTTTTCAAATATATTTTAAAGACTTACCATTTTGAAAGAAATACCTGTTTTGGTTTAGTCTTTATTGTTTCAGACAAGTTATCCAACTCCGCATATTCAGTCAATTTTTGGATCCAGTCTTGCATAGATGGAAGTTTGTCAGATTTCCAATTTAGAAACCCCATTGATTGATTCATTCTACTGTCAATTTAACATACAGTAATCATTCCTGCCAACAAGATTCAAAATAATCCATTTGACTAGTCTACATTTATAAGTGAAATAATCAAAATACATTTGGCTTTCCTGGCCAAAGATGGGAGACATAGGCATTTTTTTTGACATAATAAAATTTAGCTGCTTTGATGTGTTGACTGAAGATGGTGTGTACATGCATTCAAGGAGCGATATGGGTCTGTTCAGTCACCAGAGGTACTACCCACCACACCCCTTCAGGCACTAGACAAGATATATTTAGCATACAAAAAGTCAGTACAACAGATGCCAAACACAGACACGCACAGCCCCACCTCTACATCAGTCAATATTTTTCTATTTAAACAGAGTGCTGCAGAGATATGAATACCCAGCTGAGGGTAAGGCACTGAATACACTGGGATTTACTTCCGAAATTGGGGCTATAAAGCGAAATGTAAGTATTATACAGTAAAAAAGGTGAGAGAGCCTGACCGACCATGTTGCTTAGTTGGCAGACAGAACATGCAAATGTGCTGCCACTGTGTGTGTAGCAGTTTCAGTGGACCTCTTCACCTCTCCTAGATCCCCAGCTATGGGAATGGGCCCATGACAAAAGGTAGAGAAAGCAAAGGAGAATCTATATCATGGGTAGGTAAACTAAGGCCCGGGGGCCGGATGCAGCCCAATCACCTTCTCAATCTGGCCCGCGGACGGTCCGGGAATCAGCGTGTTTTTACATGAGTACAGTGATGCCTCGCAAGACGAAATTAATTCGTTCCGCAAGTTTTTTCTTCTTGCGAGTTTTTCGTCTTGCGATGCACGGTTTCCCATAGGAATGCATTGAAAATCAATTAATGCGTTCCTAGGGAAACCGACTTCAGACCAGGTCCGGGGACAGTCTGTCCCCCGACCTCTTCTGAAGGCTGGGGGGGGGGGGACAAGGGCTTTTCTTCCCACCCCCAGCATTTTAAAAAACCCCGGGACAGCGGAGGACTTCTCCGCTGTCCGGGGCAATCTTAAAATGCTGGCGGGCGGCATTTTAAAATGGCCCGGGACAGCGGAGGACTTCTCCGCTGTCCGGGGCGATTTAAAAGCCCCAGGGAAGGCAGGCAGGGGGGACAAAGACTTTTGCCCCCCGCCAGCCTTCAGAAGAGGTCCTGGAAAACCTGCCTTGAAAAGCTGTCCGGCCAAGGCTTCGCGGACCTCTCCGCAAGCAGCGGCAGCGCTGCCGCTGCTTGCAGAGAGTTGCCGGCATGCCGAAGCCTGCGCGCGCTGAGATCAGCGCGCCCAGGCTTCGCGGCCCCGCCGCCCGGCTTCGGGCATCGTCCCGATGCCGGGCGGCGGGGGGAGGCGTTCCCGCCCCGCCGCCCGGCATCGGGGCATCGTTCCGAAGCCCGGCGGCGGCGGGAGGAGGTGTCCCCGCCCCGCCGCCAGGCTTTGGAGGAGGTCCGAGGACAGCGGGGAAGACGCGCTGCGCTTCCCCGCTGTCCCGGAGATTTCCCTATGGGCTTTCGTCTTGCGAAGCAAGCCCATAGGGAAATTCGTTTTGCGAAGCGCCTCCAAAACGGAAAACCCTTTCGTCTAGCGGGTTTTCCGTCTTGCGAGGCGTTCGTCTTGCGAGGTACCACTGTAGAATGTGCTTTTATTTAAAATGCATCTCTGGGTTATTTGTGGGGCATAGGAATTCGTTCATATTTTTTTCCAAAATATAGCTGAGGGACAGTGGACTGACGCCTGCTGAAAAAGTTTGCTGACCGCTGATCTATATAAAAGAAACCATCCATCCACACTGCAGGTTCCCTTCAGCTACTCTCAGGAGTAAGGCCCTATTCATGAGCAAAGCAGGAAGCAGCAGAGGCTGGACAGCTGCATATGGACCAATGGAACCAGAATGCAAGTAACCCAGCCATTGCACCCTTTTCACACACACATTCACACATTGCATACGGCAGTCAAGATGACAGGAAGTGCAATAGGCTGACATAAGCCTAGGTAAGGCCAGCTGTTTCTAAGTTGTGCTGGCTTCCTCCAAATGGTATCTTGAGCAGCAATATTAAATATGTTGCACCAACTCAGGCTTATCACAGGTTGGGCAGATGAAATTTGCAAGAAGGGGCATGATGGTTGCATATATTGTGAAGATTGTTGTTGTTTAGTCGTGTCCAGCTCTTTGACCACCTGGACCAGAGCACACCAGGCACTCCTGTCTTCCACTGCCTCCCGCAGTTTGGTCAAACTCATGCTGGTAGCTTCGAGAACACTGTCCAACCATCTCCTCCTCTGTCATCCCCTTCTTGTGCCCTCAGTCTTTCCCAACATCAGGGTCTTTTCCAGGGAGTCTTCTCTTCTCCTGAGGTGGCCAAAGTATTGGAGCCTCAGCTTCAGGATCTGTCCTTCCAGTGAGCATTCAGGGCTGATTTCCTTCAGAATGGAGAGGTTTGATCTTCTTGCAGTCCATGGGACTCTCAAGAGTCTCCTCCAGCACCATAATTCAAAAGCATCCATTCTTCAGCAATCAGCCTTCTTTATGGTCCAGCTCTCACTTCTATACATCACTACTGGGGAAACCAGAGCTTTAACTATACGGACCTGGTATGGATTTAACTGTTGGGAGCCGCCCAGAGCAGGGCACCCCAGTCAGATGGGTGGCTAATAATAATAATAATAATGTGTGTGTTGGGTGTTGTAGCACCACATACACAGTGCTTTCATTCCCTTTCAGGAACACAAGCTCCCGTTCCCCCCGCCAACATCCCCCCTCAGGCAGCCCAAAGCTGCAGGCCAGGAGGAGAGAGAAGCAACACCTGTTGAACGTCTGCCATGCAGCTAAGCAGAGCTGAGACCCCTGCATTGCAGGGGGTTGGGCTAGATGACCCTCGGGGGTCCCTGGTCCAGCTCTGCCATTTTACAAGCCCCAAGCGGAAGGCCGGCTTGTGATTTTAGTCAGGAGGGGTGGGGAAACCATTTTCGCTCCTCACAGAAACCCGGGGTTCCCGTGTGTGTCTGTGAGGGAGGAGGACGCTATGGCCGGCCTCGGCCTGAGGAGGCGGGAGAGCGCCGCCGCCATCCCTCGCGCCCTCTGAGGCGAAGGCAGCGAGGAGGCGGGAAAGGGCGACGCCGAGGAGGAGGAAGAAGGAGGCGCCCGGCCGCCGCCGCCGCCGCCGCCGGCCTCGTCAGTCCCCGCCCCGCGGCGCTCGCGCTCCCTCTCGCCGCCCGCCCGCCCGCCGTCCGCCCGTCCTTCCTCCCCCTTCGTCCGCCGGGGCCGCCTGCCGCTGGGAGCCGAGCCGAGTCCCGCTCCTCTTCCTCCGCCGCCGCCGCCATGAGCTTCTTGTTGTAAGTGCGAGCCGCCGAGGGAGCCCCTTTCCCCGCCTCGCCGGCAGCAGGGCCCAAGCCGGGCTGCTTTCCTGGAGCCGGGGGAGGAGGACGGAAACCCTTTCCGCCTCGCCTCCGCGCAGCGCCCCATGGCTCTGCCCCCGCGGGGCCCTTGGCTCTCCAACCGCCGCTTCCTCCACCACTGGGGTTATTTACTTCTGGGTTTTTTTGCTCTGTCGCTTAAGCCTCTTTCCTCACATCCTTTGTGTTCGTGTGTATGCCTTGCCACCCCCTCCATGGCTGGCCTCCCCCCGCTCCCCCCTCCTGAGGCTCCCCATTTTCTCCTGCTCTCCCCAATTCTGCCCTCGCCCCTTTGCTTTCCAGCACATTTGTTCCTTATGTGCTTCCTTTTAAAAAAAAATCTCCACCACCCCCACCGACCGCAGGAAAAAAAAAGGGGAAGTGCTTTTATTTATATTTTCTGGTGTTAATGTTGCTGGTTCTCCTTAAATAGCTTCCCCCATATTGATCATCATCATCGCCTACTGTCCTTCATCCGAAGATCCCTGGGCGGTTTGCAACAGAAAAATATAAAATGCAAAATGCTTATTAAAAAGCAAGGGTTTTTATTTTATTTTAAAGAGGTTATCTCTTTGCTTGCTTGACCCTTTGATTAAAAAAGGGGAAGATTGGTGGGATGGGGGCTCTGGGAAGCCCCTTCTGTACCTCAATTGGGGGGGGGTGGTCCTCTTCTGCTGAAATGGGAGGCTGATTTGTTGCGCCTAAACTGCTTCCTATCCTAAAAGTTTCTGTTTCGTTCCTGGACCTCTGGGTGCCTTTTGAGCTAAAATGGGGGTGTTAGCATTTTGGAGGATCTCATTGCTGTTGTCTGAATTGCCAGCTGCAGCCAAGTGGAGGAGTTCTGTATTATAGAAAATATGGTGATTCCTGTTAATTGTGGGGTGAGAATGATGGTGGGGGTGTTTGTAATATCAGGTGCCCCGTATGCCTGCCTGTTCTTCCCTCCCCCACTGCCCCCTCTTGGACAGCAGCTTGGAGAGACTCCCTAGTGGTTTCTGTCTGTAACCATAAAATGAAATTGCATCCCCTAGTTTGTCTCCTCCCTTCCACCCCCCTCTGAGGGAATACAGGAGTCTGTAATTAATCGCCCCTTCTCCCCACCGGCCTTCTCTGTGTTTGAAAAGGCAGCAGTTTTTCTCTTGAGTGGTTCTTGTGATTAAGATAATGGTTATACGGGGTACCCAACTTGTAGAGAAGGTTTTTTTTTCGGGGTGTGTGTGTTTTTGTTTTGTTTTGCTGAGACTGACAGGGAATGCAGCTGGCTCTGTTACGTAGGGGGCTAGACATCTTGGACAATAACCCTTAGATCCCCTTCCTCCTTTTGTACTCTGGCCATTGATTGCAACTGCGTTGTGGTGGTCTGGTTTGCTCTTAATTTTTTTTTTTTAAGTATCTGCTAGAGTGAAAAGCAAACTTTTGGTTTGCTTAAAATCTTTTCAAAAAAATACGTATCTAAATTTAGAAGTAGATTGCATGGTACTTGATAGTCTTTTAAGTTCCTCTAGGGAACGCAGGACACATATGTATAGTAGAAACTAAATTTAACATTTTGGCCTTCAAAATTGCAGAAGAAGGGGCTTCTTTTGTGAAGGGTCTATTTGCTTTGAGGTTTTGAGGTTCAGCACAGAATTTGGAGAATGTACATCTTCCATTTCCCTAATACTAAACTTGAAGAAGCAATTTGAAGAAGTTTATTGAATTTTATGGGCAAAGGCTACTGTCTTACACACAACAGTAAGCACCACGGAACATACTGACTTTTAACATCTGAGTAACCAACATAGGATGGCTTAAAGAAAACCACATGAAAACAACTACTTTGCTTGGTTCTTTAAGCCTTTCAGTATACCATGCAGTTAAAAGCTCGTACAAAGCTTTTGGACTTTTGAAGGATTGGCACATGTTCTGATAAAACTCAAAGCTAATTGTGTTACAACTTGTCTAGCATTATAGCAAGCAGGTACTGGAAAGGACAGATTGATGCAGACACTTGCAACATGAAATCAGCTCTAGATATCAGTAGTTGTAAGCTAACTGGCACATACAAAATGTGTAGGGCCCGTTGTTCTGTTATTTGGTTTCCTAGTTCAAAAGTACAACCGAGTAATCTCCATTCCTTGCTGGTTGGAGTGGAGGCAATCTAATTATGACAATCAACATAAACCGGTTAAGTGACTTACAAAATAAAACACAGTGTACTCCTGGGAAAGGGAATGTTGGGGACTTAAACAAAATAATCACTTCGTTGTAGAAGACTTACTTTGTCATGTTCCTGTAAAATGTTGTTGTGCTTATACACGCTTCCACGAACCTCTGCAAATATATTATTGATTAATATTAGGATAGCCCAGTCCTATGCAAATGCTTTAGCCACAGTAAGTGTCAAAATGTTATGCCTTATTCATTCCTCTTCTTACTCTTTAAAATATCTGGAATGGATTTGTGTCTATGCAAAAAACTAACCCCCCCCCAAAAAAAACCCCACCTGAAGCAAACTTCCAGAGCCACATAGCTTTCTTTGTGTGCACGTGGGGCCATGTAGATAGTTTGGAAGGACTGTATCTTGAAAGGCAAACTAAAAACAAATTTATTTAAAACAAATAAAGTTGTTTTCTTCAAAAAGGCAAAAAAAGAGGTGCTCTCATTTGGTCTCCTGGAGTAATGATCTGTTGTGGATTGATGCTTCTTTCTATATAATTAAGGTCCATAGTAATTTCTGATTCTGTAAACCCATGTTATCTTCATTCTGATTGTGAAAGCCAAACTGACAGCTGCATTTTTAAGAGAACTCTTCCTGAAGTTTGAGACTGCCTAAAAATGCTTGCTGTGCAGATATATCAGTGAATTGTGCCCATCCATCCACCCTTGTAGAAGAAGGGACAAGAAATCTTCCATTTTCTTGTCTTTGGTTTGGGGTTTTATATTCATACCTCCCTTGGTTAGCAAACACAGAAGAAAACATAAAATATTTGGAAATGAGGAGGAAAGCTGGTTTTCTGATCTGCCTGTTCCTTTTGAGCTTTCACAGTTCTAAGAAAATAGATGTTGGTTCCTGTTGTGTTTCCCTTTTTTGCATGAACGCAAGTGTTCAACACAGATAGTGGCCCAAGTACATCATTTCTCTTCCTCATGGCAAGACATGGGTAGCATGTCTGTAGCAGGGTTAAAAACTTAGATATATAAGCTAAGCGCCAAATGGCTCCATAAACCAGGGTTACAGTCACCAAAATGGAATGCCTACTTGCCATTTTTGGGCCAGACAGCTCAAAAGTTGTATTTTTCAATACGACTTTTTGGTTCCTGAAATTCATTCTGATTGTGCAGATAAAATACAACAAATAGAATTCTTCAGGATATGTTGTTAGTGTATGAAAACAGTCAAGATCCAAGGATCCCCAGCCATGCACCTCCGGATGTTGGAGACTTCAGGTGCCACCCTGGGGCCCAGGCATCTTCACCTGGTCACAATTTTGAACACTGGTCTGTTGTGGGGCAGCCAGCATTGATGCCAAGAGTAGCTGTGTTTGTGCTGTGGCTCTATGATAGGGCTGTGGACAGTAGTATTCAATTGGAAACTTGAAATGCAGACTTTCATATAGGTCAATTTGGCAGTGTTACTTTAAGAACAAATTACTGCAGAGTTGCAGAAACCATAGCCTGCAATTCCCAGGAAAATGTTAAAGATAGTTCTGGTAGGCGTACCATATGGCAATGTACCGCTGCTTTTTAGAATTGCTTAAATTGCCTGCAAAAGAAACCCTTGTGAACGAAAACCCCCCCCCACACACACACCTTGCTTCAGCTCACCATATTTCAGTAGCTTGTTGTTTTTTGTTTTCGCACTGGGTATCTAATTTATTTGTTTATTAAATAATATATGTCCAACCCTTCCTCTCAAAGCACCCCAAGGCTGCAAACAAAAAGTTATAAAACATCTTAAAAACAATTCTGACCTAGATGCAGACAGAGAAAGATCTCAAAAGTCTTGTTGAAAGAGGAAGGCCTTCAGTAGATGATGAAAAGACAACAGAGACAGCTCCTGTCTAATATTCAAGGGGAGAGAATCCCAAAAGAGTAGGTCGGTGCTACAACACTAAAGGCCTTGTTCCTGCACTATGCAGAACTGTACCTTCGGTTAAGATGGTTTCTGCTGGAGACCCTTACCTACAGAGTTCAGTGATTGACTGGGTGTACAAGGGGCGAGGTAATCTTTCATGTATCTTGGTCCTAAGGTATATATAGGGCTTAATAAACCCTAATCGAGGGACGCGGGTGGCGCTGTAGGCCTCAGCGCCTAGGGCTTGCCGATCGAAAGGTCGGCGGTTCGAATCCCCGCGGCGGGGTGCGCTCCCGTTGTTCGGTCCCAGCGCCTGCCAACCTAGCAGTTCGAAAGCACTCCCGGGTGCAAGTAGATAAATAGGGACCGCTTACTAGCGGGAAGGTAAACGGCGTTTCCGTGTGCGGCTCTGGCTCGCCAGAGCAGCGATGTCACGCTGGCCACGTGACCTGGAAGTGTCTCCAGACAGCGCTGGCCCCCGGCCTCTTGAGTGAGATGGGCGCACAACCCTAGAGTCTGTCAAGACTGGCCCGTACGGGCAGGGGTACCTTTACCTTTACCTTAAACCCGAATCAGCACCTTGAACTTAGCCCGGAAGCTAATTGGTAGCCTATCTTCCAAGAGCAAGATAACCTTTCAACTATGTAAGCCTCAGTGAAAAGCACCAGCATGCGCAGAACTAAGCTTATTTGCCCAAAACATGTTTAATATATCTAGATAAAACGTACCTGTAGGAGTGACACTGATTTTTTTTTAATTTCTGCATCATCTTTAGGAAGCCCCCAAGATTATAGATTGTTTAAATGTACATTTTTAAAAATCAAACTCTACTGCCCTTGTTTTCTCTTAAGGCCTAGGTCTTTGCATTAAACAAATTTGTATG